TTTTCTTGTTGATGTGAAGTCATCAGTGATATTATGTCTGTACTTTAGCAGCCACAGGACCTCTTCCGTGCACTCACGGATTCGAACCGGCGCCCGCAGCCTCAAAAGCTGAGTCTCTTAACCACTACCGCCATGACACGGTGTACAAAGTGGATCCATGCCGGTCGTGATATCCACCCCACCCCTGCATGGCTGTAGTGTCCTTCGACTCTCTCACACACACACACAACACCACACAAGGCATCTGCCAGACAGGCAGTAGTCGCACACTCCGCTCTCATCCAGCACAACTGCTTATGGTTTTGTTAACTTTTTTTTTTTTTTTTTTTTTTTTTCCCCTGTCCAGATTGGACAGGAAATTGAATTGGTTGGGCTTAAAAGGTTTGATTGATATGGTGCACACATGCACGCGGACGTTGTGCGGAAAATTCCACAGGTTTGGCAGACGAGCGGGCCCGCTCAGTGCGGCGCACGGGGGAAATATTCGCTCGAAAAAAAAAGGGGTTGCATGGCTGGGTCGATGGTCACCTGCATCCCCTTTAAAGATTTGTCGCGGAATGGAAAACGGAAGAAAAAACTAGCGGTAGGGTAGTGCCACTACCTAAAAGTCAAGAGTGATGTCCCAGACACCTTTTCGAGGCTATTTCTCATGCTCAATTGCACGGAAAGAAACATCTGTACGATTGTACGTGAAAAAAGGTCAGTTCCTTAGGTGTTTGCTGCACTCTTCGGTATCTAGAAAAGAAAAAAGAAAAAAAAGAAAAGGAAACTGCCGCTGGTATGGCGCACGAGCAGATGCTGCGCCGCACGCTGTGCGGCGCACCGGACGGTACGGCCCACAGTGCGGTTGCAAGTATGATATGGTGATGATGCTGAATGAATGAGAAGAGAGGTGGGTATATGTGGGAGTGAGTGATTGTACAGGCAAGTGATGGACAACCAAATTGACGAAGCACAAGACGCAAATCCAACACAAATCATTTTGAAAATGCACGCAAAACTCCACAAAGCTTTCAACGTACAACTGACCCTGCAGCACACAAATCAATGGGAAATTGGGGGTACAATGGTACACAGTACTACACACCCCTTTGTGTTTTTTGCAGAGGCAAGTGACTGACAGGCAAACTGAGAAAAGCACAACACACAAATCCAATGCAAATTATTTTGAAAGTGCACTCAAACTCAGCAAAGCTTTCAAATGTACAACTGACCAGTACAAAAAAAAAAAAAGTACAAAAAAAAAAAAAAAAAAATGTACAACTGACCCCTACAGCACGCAATCAATGGGAAATTGGGGGTGTACCTAGGCTACCAGAGTGGCCCGGGGTCACTTGCCCGCCCGGGCCAAAAAGATTTAAAAAAAAAAAAAAAAAAAAAAAAATTAAAATTTATATTTTATATTTTAAATTTGGTAAAGAATTTTGATGTGACCCTGAGGCAAAAGTTGTTCAGTTTATTTTTCTGCATAACATAGTTTTTTTTTCGGATTTTTTGGATTTTGTTCTTTTTGCTGGGACCCTCCCTTGTCCTTGCACGGGTGGCCACCCGGGACCCGGGCGGCCCGGCTGGTAGCCCAGGGGTGTACCCCTTTGTGTGTTTTTGCAGAGGCAGCGTTTGACAGGCAAACTGATGGCAAGAATGCAAATTACTTTGAAAGTGCACGCAAACTCCGCAAAGGTTTTAAATGTACAACTGACCCCTACAGCATGCAATCAATGGGAAATTGGGGTTGCACCGTTGCAACCACTTTGTGTTTTTTTTTTTGCAGAGGCAAGTGATCGCCCTGGCGGATGTTGAGGGCGCAAACGTGAGACTCGGAGTGCTCAAGCTCAACCACAATCTTACCAGCTGGGAGGCGATCCGCGGCACAATGACAAGACACTACACACGGCAAGTGCTTCGGGAAGTCTACAAGGTGCGAGAGATGTACAAAGACACGTGAAAAAAAAAAAAAAAAAAAAAAAAAAACACTGGGTTGTTTGATGTCAACATATGTGACAATTGCAAGATTGATCTTGTCAAGGAGATGAAGCATCCTGCTGAACTAGGGATTCTCATCGCTCGGTTCTAAACATCTCCAAATTATTTATCTGCATATGCTCATAAGAGTCATAAGACTCATAACATATATATATTTTTTAAGTTAACCATTCGTTCATTTTGGTGGACAAACAAAAAAGAAAAAAACTTTTAAAATTAAAAACAGTTAAAAAAACAGTGTAGACTGAGAGCAAGCCGTTGGCTCTTCAGTGTCTTCACCCTTGCATCCCTTCCCAACTAGAGGCGGTTTTTGGGTGGGGTACGTGCTCCTTTGGGCGTAGCCTTCGCATCTTTGGTGGACTCCTCCAGTATTTTTTTTACCCCTAAAGGCTGTGTTGTTATGAGACGTCGTTTCGCCTCCTGACGCCAATGAATTAAATGGGTAGCTTTAGGCCAGGATGTAGGTTCAAAAGATGCCATGGAAGCTCTGGCGAGCCTCGCACTAGAGCCGAGTATGTGCTTGATGCCGAAAGCGGCCCAGCAATTGTGATCTGCGGCCAGCGCGCACTCAACCAGTCCTGGCATCGTAGGAGTGGCTGCATCTTGAAATCCTCATTGTCAAGGTTGAAGGCGCCCGAAAGTGACCCCAATTCGTGGGAACAGGATCGACTAAAATAAATAAATAGAAATAAATAAATGGTATATGAGATTTCACAACGACCAAAAAAAAAAAGTAGACATGGAAGAAAGCCAGGTAAATTTGTGAGGTGAGACAAATATGTATAGGGCTCAGCTGACGAAACAGTTTGTCACAGCCCCTCTTTTCTTGTCCTCTTCTCCCTCTCTGCCTACGGTTTACCTGGCAGCTCTGTTTGAACTATGACGATATATATATCGTCATATATATATGTCCCCCAATGAGGAGAAGACAGCTTTATTAAAAAAAAAAAAAAA